CCCCAAAACCCCAAAACCCCAAAACCCCACGGTAGAGTAGATCAGCTGAGATTATAATAATATTTTAAAATATGGAAATTGTGTTCCCTCAGAGTAAGTCATTAGGAATTGAAGAGCCTGCCCTACCATTTGGGAAAGAGAGAAAGAGGGTGGTGACTGATGTGATACTGTGTATAGGTTGGAATAGGAATCCTGATAAGACCACTTTGGAAAGAGCTATTGGGATATTGAAGACTCATCCTTGTTATTCAGAGTTATAGTAATGAAGGTGTGTAAGAGGATTGAGAAAGAAGAGTATAAGCAAGCTATTAGAGAGATTGAAAATGATCAACAGTTTCAAAGGTTTTGAATGGCTTTTACATGGTCATCTATTAAAAAGGGGTCTCTTACTGTAAGTTGTGTTATTTGCAAATAAATTTTGTTATTTTAAACTAATTTATTTATATAGACATTTAATCATGAAGATATACAAAGCCCTCCCGAATTAATGTATTTTAAGAATTGTTTCTATAAGCAAAAAGAATCAATTAAGAAATTTCAAAGACAATTTTCAGAATTATATGACAAACTTCTGAACACAGAGGTAAGAATAACCACCTATAATCTTAAGTACATTAGTAAGCATTTAATTAGCCTAGGCTTGATATTTTAATGCTGACCAACAAATCGGTGAAATTTAATTTTGCAATAATAATGCAAATAATTTTTAATGCATTCTAACATTCTGCAGAAATTAGACAGGCAACTCCTTTTAGCAAAATGCTACAAGATTTGTTATGAATCCAGAGATAACAGATATGATTTAGCCAAAATCCATATCAACATGCACGAGAAAGATCAAGCCAAGATTTCTCAATCAATAGGTATGATAATATCAAGTTCAAATTTTATCGAATAAAATTCCTTTCTAAAACACGATTAGAATTTTCAGAAAAGAGAAGATTAATTATTGCCTTTCTGATTGATTAAATTTTTTAAGAGAAATATCTAAAACTATCGAAAATAAATTTAACTTGGATAAATTAAGGTGACATTAACCTTATCGTTTTTATAATTTAAATAGAGATTCTAAATCTCAACTATAAAGTTTCTCTTGTAAATATTGCTGAAATAAGCTCATTACTGAGATTTAATCATCAAATTTACAATTCTACGATATATACCAACCTCTAAAACGCTAGAAATATCTAAAAAAATTCCCAAAATTAAATTTACTCCAGTTATATTCTAAATCCCTAAAATTCCCTCACTTCCCAATCTGACCACTCCATCCTCTACCCCTAATCTCCCTCCCCCATGACCCTACCTCCCAACCCTCCTTCCTCCTAACCACATTACTCCACACTGACTCTAACCCTCATACAGGGAACTACAAATTGCCCAAATGTGAAGGACTGAGCTTAATATCCGTTCATCAGAAGCCTGAACTTACCAAGTCTATATAATGCGAAGATCTTTTCCAGAGAAGGTCGAAAGCTTTAGATTCAATGTAACCAAATTCCTAACTTTACAGAATAGAGAAGCTGATTGGAGTAACCCCAAGAAAGTCAATATTGGTAGATACCTGAAGGAATTAGCACAAGCACTTCCGAAGGTCACCCAAAAAGTTTCATTCAGATATTTTGAAAGTAAGACTAGAGTTAATGATCTGTTTTCTTCTTATAGAAAGACAAGCGGCTCAGCTTGATTTGACTTTGAGAGTAACTTATCTATTGCTATAGTTAACCCACCACAGTTCAAGAAATTGCTGTATTTATGTAGAGATAAGGAATCAGTTGAGTTTGAAAGTTGTAAGATCCATCTTCAAGAAGTTCCAAACCTAGTAAAAGCTCTTGAAGGGTGCAAAATCCAGACTCTTAACTTCTATGCCTGAGGCATGAGCAAATATGGTGATTGGGTTAACAACCAACACCATTTAGATAATTTGATTAATGGGCTATCCCAATGTGATGATCTGCAAAATAGCTTGAAGGGGCTTAGCCTTGATGGAAATGATATGTCAAAAGGAGCTTTCAGAACTGTATTCGAAAAATACAGCTTCAGGAATATCTCTTTCGAGGAGAGGTATAACTAATTAATGCAGCTTTGAATATATATAATTTGGGTTTCAATTAATGTTTTCAACAACGGGGTTTTGGGGTTTTGGGGTTTTGGGGTTTTGGGGTTTTGGGG